CCCCAAACTGCTTTAAGTGAAGGCACTTCAGGAGCAGAAAAAGTGAACTGAAGCAGAACGGCCACTGGTGAGAAATCTAACTTTGCTGCTTTTTGGAGCTTCTTGCCTCCACTTCAGAAAACAAGAATCTTCACAAAGCATTAGGATTTTCCCAAATGGCTTCTGGGGGCGGTGGAGGCATGGCAGCAATCACAAGTGGCTGTTAGGAGGCAGAGCTCCAGCTTACCAAATATTTCTTAAACACAGAGCCAATAGGTCAAGTGGATCACATCAAAATTATTCAAAGAACACCTTGAAGAAAATGACAAGAACCCACAGAATGGAGAAAATTTTGGCTAACCACATATCTGATAAAAGACTTGTATCTAGAATGTGTAAAGAACTCTCATAACTCAAAAAAAATCCAATTTTCACAATAGGCAAAGGATCTCAATAGACATTTCTCCAAGAAGATACTGCAAATGACCAACAAGCAAATGAAAAGATGCTCAACATCATTTGTCATTAGAGAAATACACATCAAAAACCACAATGAGATACCACTACATAACCACTAGGGTGGCTAAGAAGTAAAGAAAAATAAACAAAGACAGAAAATGACAACTGCTGGTAAGGATGTAGAGGAACTGGAATCCTTATTGCTAGTGAGACTGTAAAATGGTACAGCCCCTGTGGAAAACAGTTTGACAGTCTTTCAAAAAGTTAAACGAACAATTGCAATATGATCCAGCAATTCCACTTCTGCATATACACTCAAAGAACTAAAAGCAGGGACTTTCATCACTGTTCGTCATGGCATTATTCACAAGAGCCAAAAGGTAAAAGCCATCCATGTGTCCAACAACTGAAAAGTAGCTAAATAAGATGTGGTTTATCCACACAACGGAGTATTATTCAGCCATTAAAAGGAATGAAGTACTGATTCATGCTACAACATGGAAAACCTCAAAAACAAAGGAAAAGAAGCCAGACACAAGAGGCCACTTTGATATGATTTTAGTTATGTGACATATCCAAAATAGGCAGATCCACAGAAACAGAAAGCAGACGAATGGCTTCCAGTGTCTGCTGAGAAGGGAGGATGGGAAGTAGCTGCTTAATGCAAACAGTCTCCTTTGGGGGTGATGAGCATGTTTTAGACCTAGACAGAGGCGTTGGCTGCACAACACTGTCAAAATATGACGAAAGTGGTAAATTTGTGGTATTTTAATTATATCTTTTTTAAGCTGTTAATTTTTTTTAAAGCCAACCATAAAACCTGGAAAATTTCATGCAAAATTCCAGATTGACTGCTCTTAAAAAATCTCTATGATCTCACACCATTGGACACAAGGTCCCTCGGAACAACCATCAGCTGGAGCTGAAGCTGGTCCTGGAGCCCATCTCTGCCACTAACTATGGACCATAACAGGACACCTTCGTCTCTGTCTCAGTTAGCTTCTCTGCAAAAGAAGGATCATAACAGTGTCTATCTCATTAGGTTGTTACAAGGACTTGGTGAATTAATATGCCAGTGCCTGGCATATACTAAGTGCTCATTAAGTGCTTGCTAATTTCACATTTTGATACCTCCTTTTCTTTGTAATAGAGGTAAACAGCATTTGCTTTTTATTTTATTATATTTTTTTACAAATTAAAGTACAGCGCATAATGTAGCAACCCAAAAGGAAAAAGATTGCCAAGATATGAATTTTTAAAAAGCAGCATGCCAAAACTATGCATATTATGTGCCTATTTTTGTGAAAATGTAATAATGATGAAGATGATAAATCTACACATAGAAAACGATCTAGATAAACTCTGGACTCTGGCTACTAGGAGGGAAATAATGTTAATTAAAGGGGCTTTTTCTTAACACACATGGTTATATAGTATTTCAATTTTTCCACCTTTACTGAAATATAATTGACACATAACACTGTACAGATTTTTAAGATGTACAATGTGATGATTTGAAATACCTGAAATAGATACCTATATAGAGATATGTCTCGAAATGATTACCACAATCACCTCACACAGTGACCTAATTTTTTTTAACAATAAACTTTTACAGTCAGGAACCATAATAAGGATTATTTTTTTAAGATGAAGAAATCTAAATTAATTTTGTTTGAGACTTTTGTGAGATTTTCATAAAAGTCTACTAGGTAAGTTGCAGTATCATAGACTTAAAAACCAGGGGCCATTTGCTTTGCTGTGAAGCCCAGAGGTGGGGGCCCCTACAGCACCAACCTCTCTTCCATCCTTCTTCTACTTTTACCACCCACCACTCCCCCTTACTAAGACTCCATTCCACCTAAACAAGATATAAAATACACATCCTTCAAATGCTTTTCCACATGCTCTTTTTTTTCTTTCTTTCAATTGAGGTAAAATTCACAGAACATAAAATTCACCTTTTTAACCATTTTGAAGCGTACAACTGAGTGACATTCAGTACATTCACAATGTGGTGCGACCATCATCACTATTTCATTCCAGAACATTTCATCATCCCAAAAGGAAACCCTGTACCCGTTAAGCAGTCACTCCTCATCTCCCATCCCTCCACCAGCCCCTAGAAACCACATCTGTTTTCCTTCTCAGTAGATTTGCCCATTTTGGATATTTCACAATGTTGAAACCATACAATATATGACCTTTTGCGTCTGGCTTCTTTCTGTTGGCATAAGGTTTTCAAGGTTCACCCATGCTGGACCACGTATATGTAATTAGTTCTTCTTTACAGATGAATAAAAATTTTACCATGTAGATATACCACATTTTGTTTAGCCATTCATCAGCTGATGGGCATTTGGGTTGTTTCCCACCTTTTTGCTCCTGTGAATAGTTACATGCCATTATCTTTTCTCTTCCTTTAGCTTCATGTCCTCATAATCAAAGTCAAGCTTTCATGTGAGTTTCAAATCAACTCTTACCTTTCCCGACTTAGCAGGGCCCAAAGTCCTCAACCTCTCTCTGACGTCCTTTCTCACCTCTATACTCAAAGTAGTGAACTGTCACCACATGGCAGAATCCCACATACTCACTTACATTGACTCAAATTGTTCTGTTTTCTTACATTGCTAACATTGAAAAAAATCAAGAAAAGTCACTAAACTTAAGATTTCAGTTCCCTTATTAGACTTTTGAAAGATCTGGGTTGTTTCAATAACCGCAGTTTAACTGCTCTCACTGCTTTTACCCTTGCCCCCTATGTCCTATCTCACATAAACAGTGGCCACAGTGGTTTTATTAAAAATAAATCAATGTATTTACTTACTACACTTGCTGTTTGTTATCTGCTTCTTTTCATTGGAAAGGTAAGTGCCACAATGGCAGGGACTTTTGTCACTTTGATTTACTAATTAATCCCCAGTGGCCAGAAGAACACAGCATGTAAGGAGGAACTTCATTAAAGTTTGTTGAAAAGATTCTGAGGCTACGATCAGCTGGCACTGAAAAGGTAAGCCCTTTGAGACTGGTCATGAATTTCACACTGTCTTACAGTCCCACCTGGTATATTTCATTCCTCTACCTGCCTGATCCCAGCAAACTTGAGTTTGTGACACTTCTTTACTGCCCCTTGTCACTGACTTCCTGGTATCATATCCGCCTTTTCATCAGAATAGTATTCAAAAAGGACAAGTCATAATTGTAATCTGTGAAAACCAGCTCCTGTTCTTCTCTTTTTCTCCTCAAGGACCATCCCTCTGCACATAGTAGCTCAGTAAACAGTTCTGGACTAAAGAGCTCCTTTAGCAATTCTGTCAAGTATGTTTCCTCTCTACTTCACCACTCCCATATCCCACCACTGCCAGTTGCTGACCACCGTCTGAGAAAATCGTGCCTTTCTCCTCTCTGGCACTTTCCAGACATTCCACAGTGAATGCTGTCCTCTGTGATGACTCTGATGATCACTGAAGGATACCTCTGGCATTGCTGGCCTTTCAGTTTCGGGCCTGAAAATTTTAAGGGCCTATTTTGAAGGTAGAGTCTTCAGAGCTGCCCAGTCCGGTGTTCTTCTAAACACCTTAACAAAACTGCTACATCTTTCCAGACGCTTCTATTTCTGTTTGGTCACAGTCAAAATTTTATCTTTGCAGATGCATGTTCATGTTGTCCAAAATGTTTCCATCTTTGCTACAGATGCCTAAAACCTGACTGAGGCATTGCATTTGTTGCCTAAGTATGTCAGTTGATCAATTTCAGAGGCCGAAACTCCTTTGGTCTTTCCTGTTTGGATTCTGTTCAGCTTTATCCTTCAATGACTCATTTCAAAATGCATCTTAACTTGGAAGCCCCCCAACCCACCCACCGGGCTTGCCATTCCTTTTAGGAGTAGATGGGAGGATGATTTTTTTTTTAATAAAAATTCCTCTAGGAATTTTTCTTCTTTTTTACATTATGTGAAACTTACCACCCTCCCCTTCAAACAGTAAATGACAACGGTGAACACGTGGTAAGAAACTAAATTAATGGTGGCTGCTATTTTTGTAATGATCTGGGACTGCTCCTGAACACAGAGCTCCCCAGCAGGGTGGGCAAAGGCACCGGGCCCATAAAGTGCCCCTGAAGCACTCCTGACTGTTCTACAATTTCCTTGGGATCACCCTTGAGCAGCTGGGTCCACATTACTCATAGAAGAAAACAGGAGCTTGGGAAGTGGAACAGGACAAAACACAAGAGCACATCTTTAGATTATTTTGCAGGAAGACATGGATATGGATTGGGGGGGGTGGGTTGCTATCTCCAAAGTATTCCTATAATTTTAAAGAATTTGGGAAAGGGAGGGCTATTTAGCAGATTTTATTTTGACAAACATCTAATAAAGCTGTACTCTGAAATTCACTGTCATTTCATATTAATAAGATAATATTCAGGGTTATGATTAAAACTGGAGCTCTTACTTAGATACCTTAAATTTTAAAAGTTACCATCCTTCGGTAATGCTTAAACTCCACTGTAATCAGAAGTATTACCACATTTATTCAGCTGTGCTGTGCTGAAACAGCCAGTTACCTTTTCTTTGGAGGGCAGGCCAAAAATCCCGATGGATTTACCAGTGGATCTTCATCTGCTATGATTGTGGAAGCTCTTCTCTTTAATTCTGTTCAGACCTATAAAAAAAGAAAAGGGGCAAAGGAATGAAACAATGGATAAAACTAATCAGAAATCTACAACCTCATTAGTTTCCAGATGTCCCAAAATTATTAT